TGGTGCTTCTCTCTCTCCAATCATACATTCCACCATCTCTTTGGCAGCTGGCAAGCACACGTCTTCGGCGATTGTGTGAGGGAGCCCCTTTCTTGCTATTCTGTAACTGACCAGATATGAAGCCCGTAGTGCGTTTTTTGTAGACCCAACACATGAATGAGACTGCAGTTGTTTTGGGCTGTTTTGTAACTCCTCCAATTTCAATATAAAAATTGTAAGGGGCTTTTGACTTGCACTGGCATGCTTGGTGTTCAGGTGGCGACGTAAGTAAGAGGGCTTCGGACAGCTGTTAGCCAGATCCTCACTGCACACCACGCACTGTGGCTTTGGGCAATCTGCATTGCCAATCCAAGTGAAGCCCAGACCAGATCATTTTCATCATATTTCCTCTTTTTTTTTTCCCAGTCTGATGCTCACTCTCGTCTCCTCTTCTTTCACCTTGACTCCGCGATGGGCCTATGTGCTCCCAATTTGTCTGTGCTATCCCTTCCTCCTTTTCGGTCTCCTCCGTCTCATCTTTCTCTGACTCCCGTTCGATTTCTTCTCCCGGTCTCTCCCCAACGCACCTCTCCATTTCTCTTGCCTCCGATTCCTCTCTCTCTCTGTCCCTCTCCTCTTTTATGACTGATAGCTTCAGATGTCCCACCTGACAGTTTCCCCGATTTCAGCCAGTTCAGCATATTTGCATGAATGTTGCTGAATGAATAAAGTTAGCTGTTAGCTGACGTTAGCTGCACAAGCTAGGCTAGCTAGTGTGTACGTAAAAGACAGTAAATTGTAAGTTTCTAATTTTAAATTGAAATCTTACAAAGGGAATTTTTATAATTCATGTTTTTATTTTGTGAAAAATCCCACTTATATTTAATATTAATTTATTACACCATTAGACCAACATTACATTTTTCCTCTCACGCACCCCCTAGAGGCAGCTTTGGGAATCCCTGCTTTAAATGGCTCATTTGAGTGAAAATAATTACTGTAGTTCTACTAGCTTTAGTCCTGTTAAGATCTCAACAATGGCTCCAGATTGAGTGGTGTATTGACCGATTTAGCTACTTTTAGGTGGATAAAAAAAATTGTTCAAATGGGTTTTGAAAATTTGGGCTATTTTGTGTACAATTTGGGTGGTGACAAAAACGTCCTTCTTTGAAGATTGAGACCGACACCCAGTGGACACTGCTCGACATGGAATGACTGAAAACTTATGACCAACAAAACCAAACTTATGGCCAACAAAACCAAACGTCATTACAGTTTATTACAAGCTACATATAAAGATTAGGTATTTGGTTATACATCTGCCCACATAAGTGAAGACTTACTGTTTTATCTAACAGGGCGTGCAGCAGTTGGGCTCTTTTCTGTACTTAGCAGGAGAGCGAGTGTTGCCATCTTCACCACATGGGAGCGTCTAAAAAACGCAGATATTGTTGTCTGCTTTTCAGTTGGTTGACACAACATATTTTTTCCGACGCTCACTGTGTGTGTGTGTGCGTGTGCGCGTGCTGCGTTCCGCGCGCATCGAGGCGGAACTCCGCCGTGCGCGATACAGAGAGCAGAGGAGAATTGTAAACGCGCGACCATGTAAAGACAGAAATGACATGCCGTCTATAAATAAGATAAATAACATGAGACTATTTAGTTTGTTTAAAGAACATGGTATAGACCTGTTCTATAGGAAAGGTAACCTTAAATGACTTCTGTTGTGATGTGGCACTGTATAGAAAATAAAATTAAACAAAATTAACTCGACCTTCAAGGGGGGGTGGCGTTGGGGGGGCACCCCCCCTAATATAATGGTAGGGTAAACACTGTTTATAATATATAATAAAGATGAATTATTCTGTGTTCCACAGTGACCAAATGAAACTGGACTACCCAATAAGAGAAGACAAATACTCACCCAGATGAGACAAGTTTAAGCCCATCGCTGAGTGCTCCAACCAACATGAAGATTTGTGTGTTTGTGTGTTGTTACATTATAGTTACATGCATGCATGCATGTTAAAGGTGAAGTAGTGTGAGCGAGGTGTGATGGTGTACACCATGTCTGAGGACATAATGAACTGCACCATCAGGCATGAAATCCACCAGTACCTCTTCTCCTGTGTGTATATACTTGTACTATTGGTAAGTTTGTGTACATCTTCAATACCTGCACAAAACTGTTTAGGTGTCTGAATTCTTTATAAAGTGCATAAGTAACTATTTTAAAGAAATGTTGACAGTGTGGCTTCTACTGCCCGAAGAAATCGCAATATATACACACGCCAATGTTACCGGTAGTGTCATTCAGGTTCAATTGAGATAGCACTACTCTCTTTTCTGCATTTTAGATTCATACTCTTGGATTGAATCTTGTATTTGTGGGGCTTTTATTTAGAGAGGGGAAAAGTCCTCTAAAAATATCTAAGCCCTGAATGACTGTATGATAGAGATACACCATTTTGGCCAAAAAGCTTGGAAATGTTGTGGCGGTCGCAGTAAAGTGTCTATGGAATCCAACGGACTTACACATTTGGCTCAAAGAGCCGCAGAGCGACATGAACTCCAACCAACTGCTCCATTAGACTCCATGTTAAATCTCACCACTAATTTCTCAAAGAACGCAGACGGTACCAGTTTTGTCTATTGCTCTGGAGCGCACATTTTTAACACCACAAACATAAAAAACACATCAGCGTGTTTGCCAGAGTCTTATCTTTCTCACGGTATCCATATTTTGGCACTTAGACTCCTGCTAATTTGTTAAAAAGAGGCAGGGGTTTTGTTCAAAATCACTGATTATTGCAATGTTTCATAATCAGTCTGCCTGTAGCACCAGGTGCGTCATCACCATGGCAACCAGTTACTACACGCACGCAGGCTCTCTCTCTCTCTGTCTCTACGCACACAGATGACTTGGAGATATTCAGTCAAAGGCATTGTTAGACCTGTCTGTCTGCCTGTCTCTCTCCCACTCTGTCTCTCTCTCCTCTCTGAGTCTCTATCATACAGTCATTCAGGTCTTAGATATTTTTAGAGGACTCCCCCCCCCCCCCC